ATAATCAAAAAGGAAAGAGGCTCTAATGGAGTCTGTTCAAAGAGATAGTTTAGGCAGAAAAAGTGTAGATGTCGGGTGAAAGGTTCAAGTCAAAAGTTTTGGTATAGAAACTCAAAAAGCTGCTTAAGTTAACTTAGTAAAGTTATATTTGACCAATGGAATCAGCAATTAACTAGCTTTGACGTAATGGAGCCCTTATCTTTGGCCAGTACATTGACGAAGGACTAATCAAATTCTTCAATCTTTATATGGATGCTACTGTTGATGATATGAAATTGATCATCGTCTATACTTTTAGGATATCTCTGATTCTGGACACTTAAAAGCCCATTACTATGTGATCTACTGCTCCATTTGAAGATACTTCTTGAACTTCAACTTTTCTGTTAAAGTCTTCAGTTTGCTACAGTGGATACATGTTTAATGTAGAACATGTTGAGACGTCTGAACTTAAGTATAATATGAAGATTCTTTGGAGCACCCAAGGATGTGGCCTAGTGATCAATGAAGTGGGTGCAAACATTGGTGCCCAAGGTTCAAATTCCAAGAGAGACAGAATATTAGGTGATTTCTTTGCATCTACCAGAGCCTTAATAGGCAGAGTTATCTGGTCTGGTGAAAGATAGCAGGTACCTAGTAAAATATTTGAGATGTGAGCAAGCTGGCTCAAACATCATGGTTTTTCAAAAAAAACTATTAAGTCCCTTTCGATGTAACATTGGTCTTACTGTGTCCTTTGCTGGCTTTTTTTGCGTGCTTATATATTTGATGAATGGTTTTCATTTGTGCAGAACTTCAATATTAGCACTTCAAATCTGGATGATTTCTTTGGTGGTCCAGTATTTCTTGCATGGTCACGTATGGGAAACCTACATAAGTGAGCTTCTAGTCATTGATCTATCGATACAAATTATTGAAGTCCCAAGAGTTGGTGTTTTGTTAACTGAAAAAGTAGAGGATTGGTATTGCCAGTGTGCAGCTAATTACTAATTAGTACAAATGCCTTAAACTCCATTTTAAGCATCTAATATTTTCACTTGTCTAATCACGTGTCATTATAGTTATGCTTCATCAAAATTGGGGGAATGGTGCTTCTTTTGAAGAAATGAGTTCTTTTTGCATCATGCATTGCAATCAAATTGTTGAAATTTTTGCAATAAATTCATTTGTAGTAATTGATAATTTGCATTAACTCACAGAAATTGATGGTGCTATTTTTTAATGCTTAGTCATTCAGGAGCTAGTTTGCTTTTCAACATAAACAGATTTTTTTCTGGCATTCAACTTTGTTTCATTGGTTCAATAGTTACTTCTCTCATAAGCAAATTGGCTTGTGTGTTCTTATTTCTACTATAATTCTGTTCTTTTGAATTTTCAAACATAATGCATCTATCATAGATGAGGTGGGCCACTTCCGCAAAGTTGGTTTGATCAGCAACTCATTCTGCAGAAGAAAATTCTTGGTAGAATGTATGAGCTTGGGATGACACCAGGTACAATTATTATTATATAGTGTGTTGAAAGCACTCTTAAACTCACCTGCTTATCCTAACGGAGAAAGGCATATTTTCAAAACATATTTTGGCTAGAAAGGAGTTAGAAGTTGATCATGCATCTATGTTATATACAATTTTGATGAAGTAGAGGCACAGGTTTACTAAAAAAGAGAAATATGAAGATGAAAGTAAGCTATAAGGTTGCTCTTGTATACTAAAGTTAAGCTTTAATGCAATTATTCATTGCTTAATGTGGAATTCCTTATATATTAAATGATCATGGTAATCTGATTCTTGTTTAATTCCTAACACTTTTTTGATTGGTTAAAACAAATTAAGGAATTGCTTAAAAAAATTAGAATCTGTATAAGCTAAAAGTGTGCCCTTGACCTCTGGGTGCTGTTGCCTCGGTAAAGTATTCTTAAGTTGATTTCGTGCATCTTTCAGTTCTTCCAGCCTTTTCTGGAAACGTTCCGGCAGCACTGAAGCGTGTATTTCCATCAGCAAAGATAAGTCGTCTGGGGAACTGGTATATATCTACTTTAACACAAAGTACTTGATTGGTGATTTAAAGAAGCTAACGCCTCTATCTACTATTCCGTTCCCTTTATTTCCTTTGGATTCTTTCAATCTTTCTATTGGATTTATTGTAGAGATAACAAGAGAAGATTAGCTAGCTGGAAAGATTTGCCTTGTATTTATATTTTCTTATGCTATTTCTCCTTAATCCTATCTTCAACTTATTTTTTCTTGGTCCTATGTAATTAAGAATTGCAAAAGAAACAGTGGATGCTAGAGATATTTTTGAATCCAGACTTGCTCATTTTAGAAAGAACGTTGCACATTTTTATAAATAGACACGTTGTTTTTCTTTATGATCTGCTTGTTCACTGTCTTTTTATATTAGTTCATTCACAAACTTTGACTATAATCACCTTTCTAATAAGCTGTATTCTTGGAGATAAGGACGTTATTAAAAGTTAAAGTGGTCAATTACAAAGTTCACTTAATTTGCACTTTTGAGAATAAATAATTAATATAGTATGGCTGAGTCTTTTTTTAAATAGGTAAGTAAGCTTGTTGTGCAATTGTATCTTTTCTTAATGTTATAGGACAAAAAATTAGTTTAAGAAATAAAAAAAGTTCGGACTGATCCTTCTTGATGAGATGACTATGATTAGAAGTACTTAATTTGCTGAAAATATTGGACATTATTCAAGTATGATGTCCAGTTAATTCTAAAGTTTCTCTAATGATTGATTTGCCAAGACAAACATTTCTATTATGAAATGGTGTCTTCTGATGGTTATATCTGTTTTTAATAAGTGACACAATCATGAAAAAGTTCACCCAGTTATGGTTTTTATTCGATTAAACAACACGATATACCATGAGATGAGCTATGAAGAAGTTTAAGTAATATTGGCAGACCTGTACTAGAACTGAGAACCTAATTATGTACTTGAGTCCTCAACTGTTGATAGAAATGAAGTGCATAATTTGAATAAGCATAATGCCGCAATCTTCTGCTATTTATTCACAATTGATTATCGGTTTCAGGTTTACTGTGAACAGTGATACCAGATGGTGTTGCACATATCTTCTTGATGCAACTGATCCTTTGTTTATTGAAATCGGAAAAGTATTTATTGAGCAACAGCTAAAAGGTATTGTAATATAGCAACTTCTATCACCATTGGACCAATCACAATCTTATTTGGATGCTGTCATTGTAAAATTTTGTAGCTCAAATTGTCTTCTTTCTGTTTTATTATTTTCTGTTGGGGCCAACCGTGATGTTCAGAATATGGAAGGAGTAGCCACATATATAACTGGTAAGCTTTTTTTTCAATTCCATTATCGTCAGGTGGAAAAATCATTTTTACTTCTATAGTTTCATGTATTCTTGGATACTAGTTGGCATAGATTGGTCGGTTTTCATGATTTTTTGTTCTTTCAAATAGTTTGAACTTGTTAAACTCTCGACATGCTAGCATAAGTGACTAATTCTTCATCTCCATTTTCAAGAAGTCCTCTTTCAATCAACATGATCTCCAATTTCCTAGCATCTTTTGTTTATGAATCAAGAACTGACATGGTTGCATAGAGCTCTTGTGATGGTCACATGTGGTAATAGCCTATCTTTGTAGCCTTGCCCAACTTTGTCTCATCCTAGTTGGAAAATGTCAATCTATTGCAGTGATACCTTTGATGAGAACACACCTCCTGTTGATGATCCAGATTATATCTCTTCTCTGGGGGCCACAATCTTTAAAGGAATGCAAAGTGCTGATTCAGATGCAGTTTGGCTAATGCAGGTAAAAAAGCTTAACTTTTTAGTAGCAGATTTTCCAGTGATTTTAAAATCTCTAAATTTTATGTCGACCGGTGTTTGAAAATCCTATTTAGTTAATCGTGTTTAGTTCTTCATTTGGGCATTAATTTAACATCCTGGCTTTACTTCGCCTGAATCATAGAAGTGTTAGTTTATTTCTCTGGCATGGCGCACACAGTTAGTCTTCAAAGTGATGAAACCAAATGTTTAATCCATGTTTAACTTCTTCTTTCTTATTTTTGACCAATGATTTCCTTTTACTTTTCTAGGGATGGCTTTTCACTTATGATCCTTTCTGGAGACCTACACAGATGAAGGTCGTCTATCTTATCTCTGTTTCTCTCTATAAAAATATCTAATGTTCATGCTGGTTACTTAATCAAGAGAAAAAAGAGTTCATGCTGATTAGCTGAAGCATATTGCATACTCCCATTAGCTGTTTAATATTGAGGGCATGGTACTATGATGTTTTGGATGAATTATAGAATGCTCCAAAATTTGGCCTTGAAGTTTTAATTATCTGCATGCACTATTTTCAGGCACTTCTACATTCTGTTCCTCTTGGCAAGTTGATAGTTCTTGATCTTTATGCTGAAGTTAAACCAATATGGGCTACTTCGAAGCAGTTCTATGGAATCCCATACATATGGAAAGTAACATTGCTATTTTTCTTTTGTGCATCTGATGTAGTCTTCCCATAGTTAGCATATTATTTACTCAGTTCATCTGCCCTGTTTCAGTTGGAATTAATCTTAAAGTTGTCTTTTTGACTGGATGTGTCATATATTTCATGTAATGACTTGGAATGGTGTTAGTTTGGTTTCAATAAATTATTTTAAATCTGTTTGCTAAAAGAATACATTCTGAACTGTCCTCAGAGAGTAGTTGCATATATTATTTCTATATGCATCACGAATCTAGGTCATGATGTCATGTCGGGCTGCTGACAATAATAAGCATGCCTGACCTTGGTTTTAAGAGCGTTAGACACCATACAGGTTTTGACCATGAAGTCCATAAAAGTTCAACCAGTGAGCATGAATCTCATAATATGGGTTTCTGGTATAGTTAGCAGTAATTTATATAAGACTTGAAATCAGTTCAGGCCTTATTCATTCTAGAGATGAAATACTGTGAATTTCCGAGTTTTTGGGTTGGAGCCTTCTCACCAGCCTTGGCTCAGCCTTTTTCCAATCAATGGAGCTAGTATATTAGCTATTGCCACCTGAAATTGTCTTTTTAAAATTACTCAGTTTGTATTTACGAATTTTATTTCCAATGTCTCAGGTGTATGCTACACAATTTTGCTGGTAATGTTGAAATGTATGGAGTTCTTGATGCTGTGGGATCAGGACCTGTTGAAGCTCGTACGAGTGAAAACTCAACCATGGTAAGTTTGGTTCTAATCGTATTAGGTTTTCATTCTTCTTATAATTGTGTATCCAATACAGAACTATAAGTAGGTTGCCATTTTTTGGATCTTTGATATCCTGATCTGTTAGGATCTTTGGGCAATGCGGTTGAGTTACTTCCAATGCTCATGCAACTCCATCAATTTCTTCTGAGAATGTTTCTGAAGGGATTTCAAAATAAAACTGTCTACCGCTTCCTTTTTCATTGATTTAGAGATTACAGGATAGCTTAGGTGGTATAGGTAATAGTTATACGAGATTATTTGTTCTATTAGTTGTGTTGGATTTGGATCTGCAATTCACAAATCTATTAGGATCTTGTTCATGTAATTCGATTTGTCATGTTTCTCAGTCCTTTCTATTTACTGAATTTATTCATGTATCACATAGTCTTAATTTTTTTTCTTGCCTAAAGGTTGGTGTTGGGATGTCAATGGAAGGCATTGAACAGAACCCTGTGGGGCACGATCTTATGTCTGAAATGGCTTTTCAGCATAGCCCAGTTGATGTCAAGGTAATGTAACGGTTTTATGTACAATGCTGGAGTTTATCATTTGATTTCTTCTGTATCTTTTCCTTTTTAGTCAAATTGGACCCTTTGTGTTGTGTATTCTAATAGTAATTTCCTTCGACTTATCAGTTCAAGCAAATGTATATGAAGAACTGTGTTAGCTATAAGAAAGTATCCGAAGTTCTTTGCTTTGTAAATTGTATGTAATACCCTTTCTCCTTTTACTTATTCAGTTTTGACAACAGCATGGTCAAGATTCTTCAAGTTTACAAGATTTTGCTATGTTGACAAATTCTATAGTTTGAGAGACAAAGCAGTTCAAACTAGCATGTTTTCATGTCTTAGTACTTCTATGTTTTATCGGTTAATGATGATTCTGGTTGCGTAGTGGCACTTAATAAGTCAATCAAACACTGTCTGTAGGCTTGGATAGATCTATACTCCAGAAGACGCTATGGGAGATTTCTTCAGTCCATGCAAGATGCCTGGAATATTTTGTATCATACCATCTATAATTGCACTGATGGTGCTTATGTAAGTAAAACCTGCTTATGAATGAGAGAATTTGAGCAATACAGACACCAAACTGTGATGAGTACTTTATTAGCACCTTGTTGTTCAATATCTAACTTCAGAGATCTCTCTCCAGCACTGTCATTGGATTTTTGCAAGGTGCAGCAATTGTCTTTGGATGTTTCTGGTGCGCAGCAAAAGTACATAGGGAAAGGAGCTACATCTACATCACTAGCTTGTTTAGCACTTGTATTCTAATATTACTGCGGTTTGACGTTTCTCAGTGGACGTTAAAGGTGAGAAAGTTGTGTGCATACAATGTGTTCACACGCATCCTATAACACAGTTGTTCCCTTGTTCATAAATCAGTAATTTTGCCTCAAACGTAATATATATGCATAATTACAATGATTTTGAACTACTTGACTCTAGTTTTTATGAATAATATGACTGACTTGAATAGTGCTTATGACAGGCATACGTTCTGCTGGCACTCTTTATGGGGTACCTTGTGCTATATAGCCAAGAGATACTGTACAATGCTCGCTTTGGAGAAATCAACTTTGCCAACTGCGCATTCACTATCTTCTTCTGTTTACCAGCTATTGTGGTCCATGCTGTAAGACTATGCCTGGGTGCAAACATTGAGCAACACCGACAGAATTAATGCTGATACACTTGGAACTATATATATACTTTGTGATGAAGAAAACTTTGAATAGAATATACAATGTGATGACTACATTTTCTGTATATGATGACTGCATTTTACTGTAAACTCATAGTCTGAAGCCAAGTGCTTTGAACAAATATACTTTGTGATGAAGAAAACTTTGAATAGAATATACTGCAGAATTGTTCTTTCTTTTTTAAGACATGATCACTCCATCACCTACTTAACTCGAAAACTTTGAATAGAACAAAGTTTTTTCGGCATGCTATCTATCCTTGTTAAGTTTTTCTAAATTTTATTTTATTTTACAACCACCAACTGAGCATTAAGACGGTATGTTCATAAGCTTCATCAGAACATGTCGTAATTAGAGTATCTAAATAAAATTTACTAATAAGTTTAAGCATCTATCAAGTATTCTTTCCTTAAAAAAAAATTATAATGACAAAATCACTCAACTTAATCGAAGTATCACGAATTTGAGATTAGGAATGAGATCAAGAAATGAATGCTGTGAGAGCTTACTTCAAAAGGGATTGGATAGATGAAGATATGACGAATACATTATCTTGTTATTGATAATGCGAAAATTCTGAATACAAGGACTTGTGAGATTTCCATATGTGTTGGGTAATCTGTTACTACAAGACAAGGGTATTGGAATTGGACTAACTGATGGCATGAGACATAATTATCATTTTTTGTAGCGTTCTTGAAGTTAGATAAAAATGGCTATTACGATCACATAGTTATCATAATAATATATTATTTCATGCACCTATTTCAATTTATATAATCTATGTAATTTGACCGAACATAAATACATTTCAAACTATTGTGAATGAATTTCAAAGTCTTTTTTTTCAAAATTCTCAAACAAACTCTATGGATAAAAAATGAACTTTATCTCAAATTAGTAGTCTTAGTAGGCGTATGACTATAGATTTCAATTTTTTTTAAAAAAAATTAGAATATACAGTATAAGCTAACATATTTCATTCCTTATTATCAAAATTCATTTCTATTAATAATATATTATAATAAATAATCTGTCCAAGGAAATAATTAGCTTATGTGTCTTCCTATGATTGGTCCTCTGAAGTCCAATTCAAACAGGCCCAACTTTGACCGCTCCTATATATTACTTCACATTTTTCATTTCTCACAATAACGGCTTTCTTTCTTTCTTCTTCTTCTTGTTTTCTTTCTTCTTCTTGATTTCTTGTTAATTTTTGGATTATTTACATTAGAAAGAGGACATGACGATGACCCACGGCAGGTGTTCGTCAGTTTCAAGTGCGATGACGAAGAGACAAGCAATGGCGGCGGATTCATTGGCATTGGAGAATAATCAGGCCGGAAATTTGAATGCTGGATCGTCCAAGAAACGACCGGTAATTTCTAACATCTTGAATTCATACAGCTGTATCTGCTCGCAATACGATTTCTCATTCGTCCAAATTTGTGAGTGTTTTTTGGTTTACTGGGTTTTATCTTCTCTTTTTGATTGCTGGTTCGACGATTCACTTTTATGAATGTTGGGTATGGGGTTTCTTGGTTAAATTTGTGTAAATGTAGGTGGGTTTTGTGATTTTTTTTTGTGGGTTTTCTTCTTGGATCATTAAATAAGTAAAATGGTTAATGTTACATGGGGTTTCATGGAAAAATGATTGAAGATACTGGTAAAAATTATGTGATTTGAGGGTTTTTGATATGAGGGTATTTACAGGAAATGCTTTAGTTATCAAGGGATGTGTTTAAATTTTTTAAAGATTATGTCTGGGTTAAGTATTCTTTTTTAATGGTTAAAAAGTATTACGAATGGAAAATTTGAAACATCTTCCCCCAATTCCTGTTTTTTTGGTTTTTTTCTGTATTGTTTTGTTCCTTATGTATGATGCATAGTACTGCCTTTTATGGTCTTGGACAAAAAGCTGAAGAGCTTGGTTTCAATCTGCCCTGGCTTTGGATAGAAAGGGAGTTGTAAGTGTTCTTATCTTGGTCTATCCTGGTGAATCTGTTGAATCAAATTCGAACATAAACAAAGTGACTTTCATTATAAAACTTTAAGACAGAAGGAATCATAATGTGATTAGCTTGTACACTTTAATCAAGTTAAACTTTCTCAGCATCTCACCCAAAGAAGCGGTGAACGAGAGCACAACTCGTTATGATGACTGCAACACAAAAAGAGCAAGCAGCACATAATGAAGGCATCTTAAAAAAGAGAAGAAACTAAAACCTTAGTAGATCAACCAAATACCAACCTTCAATGAGTGTGTTTCCCCTGCATAATTCGTTTCCTGTCAGTAATCTCTTCCCTTTTTGTTCACAAATAGTACTAGATTTCCAGAAAATAAAACTAGACCTCACTTTGAGAATTTTACAGCAACCACCCACTCACACACTTACCCCACAAAAACAGAACATTCACAAAAACCAAAAACCAACATACAGAGCAAAGCTGAAACCAATCACCAACCATCAAAACTTTGATACCCACAAGCATTCACGTATTCTTCTATTTTAAACTAAATAAGGGCATCAGTCTAGTGCAAATACTCGTTATGATTCACTCTATTACTTCTGGTACTGTCAAAAATTTTATCAATGCTCTGAAAATAGTATATCAAACACCCAGGAGTTCATGTTTTCTTCCTTCCTTTGTTTACAGTATCACTCTTTATGGTGTTTTCTTCATCTTATTGAAAATTCAGCAGTCCTGTTTGTTGGCAGCTCTTCTAGTAAACAGAGTAATTAAACAAATTTTTGTCTCCTCTACTAAAGGAAATTTCTGATAAGTTTGCATATGTTTTTTGTATTGCAGTAATATATGTCAAACCTTACTTGCTGCAGGTACATGCATTTGTCGCTCCCAAAATTATAGGTGGGAAAAATGCTCTGTCTCCAGTTGGGGAACTTGGAATGGTAGAGATGACCAGGCTCTAGAACTAATTGATGTTTGCTATGAGCAGGTGTGATTGGCTTCTCCTTGAATTTTTCTGATTATGTGCATAGTAGATCCATGTTTCGCTGTAACTTTTCCTCAACCACCCCAGCGCTGGGTTGTAAGTAGCCTATTTACAATAGAAGGAATAAAAAAAACCTTCCCAATACGCCGAATAACCTCCGTGACAAGCTGTATGCAGAAGCTTATATATTAAAAATAGCACCATAACAGTGCTATCAGTAATTACAAGCCCAAACTTCTGTATAGAAGTGGAACACAAAAAGTGGCTTTCACCTTTACTAAGAAGACGAGTCACTCCTATAGTCCTTTTAGGTTTGTAAGTACTAGCAAACACAGAAATTTTTAAAAGTTTTCATGTTAGTGGAAGACTCTGCATGTGGTAGCTTCACAAAGCAGAACGATATCAAACTCAAAAACAAGTAGAAGGCTGCAGTAGGTTAATGGCTAGTGTGACATAGTCTTAGGTTTGATGAATCATTTCTACTGAATAGACTGAATATGAACTATTACTCAAAGGATTCATGTAGCTGACCTCAACTAATTTGTGATTAAGGCATAGAAGATTATTTATGTCGATTTCTTACTTTGAAGGGAACATTAGCTTTCAAAATGGAAGAAGCTAAAGAAAATCGATTAGAATTTTAGCTTTCATCAAAAGGATAAGCGGGAATTATAGGACAAATTACATATTCCCGTGTTACTTTTATCTCTTTCAAACAAAGAAAATAAAAATAACTCTGTTAGGTTCCTCGTTCAATATCCATGTTCTCAATAATAACTACACTATCTTTCTTT